CCTACGTCCTGCTACCCATGCATACGCTGCAGCAGGCGGAGCAAGGCTGCCCCACGGATGGGTTTCCACCTGCCCCTTAGCAGGTGGGGCAATGCTCCCCCCATGGGGCAATCCACCACGGGGGGAACAACACAGGAGGCAGGACAGTCCCACACCCACAGGGAGACACATGGGCGCTGTAACAATACGTATAGATCTCAGAGGCAAAACCAGCAGCAGCAGAAAGGAGGAGTCTCTTACAGCACTGCCTTGCAGGCAGGGGGTGCCAGCAGGCAGGGGAGCGCAGGGAAGGGCCAGCAGCCCTTGCTCCCCCCGCCCCGAGCCCAGTACCTGGCAGCTTCCCTAAGGGCGCTGGGGCGAGCTCTCCCAAAACCTCGTCCGATTGCGGCAGGCCCCAATGCAAGCAGCTCATTCTGGCCTTGCTGCCATACCAGCCATGTACTGCATTTTGGGGGAAAAGTAAGCCACAGCAGAAGAGAAAATAACCTCAGCCCACCCAGGAGTGGGGCAGCTCCCTCAGCCAGCAGCAGGGGGGTGCCCACGTCCCTCCGAGGGAGCAGGTCCCCCCCAGGCATTAAGGGATAGTCGCTCAGGGCATGGGGACAGAGGGAGACCGCTTCCTGCCCTCCCAGCTGGTCTCTGCGAAGGCACCAGGGTTTAGGGCAGCCAACTACTCCTCTTCCCCTCCCTGCTCCGTTCCAGTCGTGCCTGGCAAGGCGAGGGGACCTGCACTGCTGCGGTCCTCCCCCGGGGAGCAAAGGGGCTCCATGGAGCCCGCCAGGCTCAGTTCAGTACGAAACGCCTCAAGTTGTCGCCACAGCAGCTGTCTCCGCACCGAGACCCTGGCTCGGGTCTGGGCAAGATGATCAGTGACCTCCTGCCAAGGAGACTTGGTGAACATGGTCTCCTTCCAGAGGTTGGGGGTTAGATCACTATAGGTCTTGGAGGCCGCAGCAGAGGTGGCATTAGCCAAGCTGCCCAGTGGGGCAGCACAGCCCCTGGCTGAGGCATAGCAGTCATGGGGACCAGCCACCTTCAGCAGTTTCTTGGGAACTGGGGCAGATGCACACCTGTACCACAGGGCGCTGGGATAAGTCGCGCCCAAACAGACCCACAAGAGCCCGCACCGACAGGGTCTGCTATGGGGCTTTCCAGTCTTGTTGCCCCAACAGCCTCGCTGCACTGGTACAATGGATAGCTCAGCCAGGAGGACCGCCCCATGAACAGCAGTGCCAGGCCCACTAGGACTTGGTACCTCGCTGAATGCAGCACTTGAAGCATAAAGTCTGGCGCTGAAAAGTGCTTGTCACGTGGATCTCCTCGGTAACTCAGGTCCCTGCATGGGGTCACGCTTCGGCTTGGATGAATAAGCTGGCTGGATGCCAAGGACTAGACACTGATATTGGATTTATGGCCCGTTATCATTTTCCCCAACTCCTGAATCCCTTCCGCACAAGAAGAGGCAAGGATTTCTCAGGGTGATATTGAGACCAACTATGTAGTTATGATAAAGTTAGACAAGCTTCCCAATGTAAGACATTCTTCCTCAGGTCTCCGAGTCTAGGAATACAATTAGCAAAAGGAGAGATCGAGGGCTATCCAAAGAGAGAACTGGGGCGAGGGGGTCAGTCTCAGCTTCTCGATAATAAGAACCGAGAATTAAACACAAATATTGGATTTATGGCCCATTATCATTTATCTAACTCCTGAATGCTTTCCACACAAGGAAGAGGAGACTGATTCCCCATGTTGATAGGCCTCGATCTCCCAGGGCTCAGCTTCTTTTCTTTTGCCAGTTGTGCATCTGCTACACCTACGAATCTCTGTCTTGGCCTCTTCCCTATGCTGTGCTGAACGTGTGCTTGGCTTCCTTGAGTCAGAGACCGGAGGAAGAATGACTTGCATTCAGAAGCTTGTCTAACTTTATCCCCAACTACATTGTTGGTCTGATAAAAAGATATCATCCTAACAAATTCTTGCCTCTTGCATAACTTCTGGATTTATCGTGCTTACAACCATTTCTACTTTTCTCACTTAAAAAGGAGTTGTTCTGTGGATTGGTGCAAAAACATAGCTGGCTTCTCTGCTTATGCAAAGGAAATGTTAATAAAATGCTCATGATCAGCACTGATGTTAAGAGGCCAGGCTGAGTTTCGAGGAGAAATTATAACCCTATCAAGGAGGCAGATATTAATCACCGGGGCAATATAGTATGGCACGAGGCAAGGATTTTTGTGGGTGATATTTTTTATTGGATCAACTACATAGTTGGGATACAGCTAGATAAGCTTTCCAATACAAGGCATTCTTCATCAGGTTGTAGTATTGCACAAGTAACTATTACCAAGTCACTTCCCAGATTACGGGTATAATCTGACTGCAACAGGCTATGACCCCAGGGGTGGCCCTGATGCCCCTTGGTGGTCACCCTGCTCCTGTTATATGGTTGGTCCCTTAAGCATTTTCCCCTTTCTGCTCGTCTGCTGTGCCTTAATGTAACTAAATATTTAGCAAAGGGAGGCCGCCCTTGGGATCCCTGAGCAAGATCTCATCTACTCCTGAGCTTAGGTCTCATTTCTTAGCACCTCAAGGGCTTCTTACATGGCTCTGATCATCCCTTACACCGCACCCATGCCTTACAGATGTCACCGTCCACTATCAAGCTGAATTTCCATCTTGACTTATATATTGTCCCCTGCAAGCAGCACTGCCTGGACCCTGCACCGTGCTGCACAGGAAGGCGGCGTGCTAGTGGGCTCTGGGAAGTTGAATTGGGCCCCGGGAACCTGGGCAGCACACGGCACGCTGGCAGCCTGCTCAGCCAGACCTGGAAAGGTGGGGCGGGGTGGGGGCCATGGCCACGGAGGGAAAGACCAGGCCCCCCTGCAGCTCAGGGGCTGCCTGGCCCGGTACCAGGCAGCTCTTCCCCCGCCCCTGCCTGACACCCCTAGCCTCCCCCACCAACCCGCCTGACATCCTGCACTGCCCATGGGGCAAGCCAGCCCTATCTTGGGCAGTCCCAGGCATCCTGGCAGCCGCAAGAGCCTGCTGAAGGCAGAAGCAGTGAGGGGCCTGATCCTGCTTTTGGCAAAGCATGCCCGCCCGACCAATGGCCGGAGGCGAGCTACCACCGAGCTGGGCAGCCCGAGCTGCATGGGGCCAGTCATAGTTTCATAGTTGGTCGGGTTGGAAAGGACCTGAGCAGATCAAGTCCAACCCCCTACCATGGCAGGAAAGAGTACTGGGGTCAATCCTTCCCTCCGTGGTGGCAGCGCCAACTGCCAGGATTGGCCGAGCAGGCTGCCAACAGGCCGTGTGCCGCCCAAGCTCCCAGGGGCACAATCCAGCTTCCCCAGAGCCCACCAGCACACCACCTCTCCCACAAGCCCGCCTGGGCTTCCAGCACCTTGCACACTGTCCCCGCTGCCTTCCCCCATGGCCCACACACCCAGCTACCTTCCTGCCGCCCCACCAGTGAGGCAGGGTCGGCTTATACCAGATCCAAAAAAATCCTAATTTTTTGGTGCGGAAATATGGGGTCAACTTCTACACCGTTAAGTATGGTATCTTATTTAATGATGACCCTTCCCCTTTACAAACCTGCACTCAGAAGTGAAGGCAACACTTTGCTGGATTGCAATAAGTTTCATTTCCTGTTCAAGGGACCCATTTTCAATACTGTGTACACACGCAACTACGGCACTGTTAAATGCTGCGTATGGTCGTCCCTTTGCCAAGCAGTAGCAGAGTTCACGGCATGGCCTGTTGTTCCCCCATTTGCAGCAGAAATAGGTGACAAGGAGTCAAGTATTCTCTAGTGCAGTGGCTGTCAACCTTTTTTCATCTGTGGACCCCTAAAAAAATATGGGACCCCTTTGAATTGTAAGTGTGGGTATTCACACATTTGACAGACCACAGTCACGTTTCACAGATCCCTTAGACATAGTTTGTGGACCCCCGGGGGGCCACAGACCACAGGTTGAAAACCACAGCTCTAGTGTCATTTCTTTCTTTACAAAACGTACCCAGTCCTGTTCCCTCAAACAACTGGCACGTGGGCAACTCCCTCGTTCAGGACACTCAGGTAAGGCACCACTGCTCTAGCTCCAAAGCAACTGTACCTGTGTCTCAAGCTCTCATGCCAAACTACCTAGGTAGTAACCCACAGTGCCCATTTCCAGCTGTGATGGAGCCCCAAAGTTTTTACCTTTAAAACCCCCAAACCATATAGTCTGAACAAATGGCATGGCCACTAACTTCACCCTAGAGCAGCTGGCCTGTAACCCAAAGAAAACTCAAGACCAAAGAAGGATGCTTTACCCCACAATACCATTTACGACTGGGGGCAGCAGCTTGCGTTTCATCCCGAGTATTTCTATATTAGTTCTCCCTAAAGATCAAGCTTGCAACACCCTGTGGTATACAACGTGTTAGCTGCTCCACCATCTAGTAAGTATATTCAAAATACACATTTAGAAGGTCAACAGGAAAAAAGGGCCCAAATGCCCTACAACACAGGCGCAGGCAGAACTACACAGGTGGGGACCAGCATCATCGAGGAGGAGGATACTGCCACGACATCACTGAGACATCTCAATGACATCTCATGGTTGGGCTGATGAGACCATCGCTCTACATCAGGGGTCCGTAACAGTTTTCGGCAGAGCACCAGAAACACCCACGACCTTGACTAGCAAGGTGCCAGCGTGGCGGACGGCGGGGAAGCCACAAGAGGCCTGATCCTTGCTGCGGCAACGTAGCCCTGGCCCCTTTGCTGCCGTCTGCCCCAAGGCTTTTGCTCTGGCACCCGTGCCAGGTGTGCCTACCCCTGACTACCAAGAAACACTCCCTGAGGATGGGGCACTGCGATGCCTCCAAGCCGCCTGCGGTCGAGGGACTGCATGAAACCCAGATGGCACCAGGGAAGAGAGCAACCGCGGCAGGGAAGAAATCAACTGCTGCAAATCCTTTTGCCACAGTCCTTTCTTTGCGGCAGGCAGCGCCTGCTGGGACGAGGGGGCTGCGCAGCCCTGCCTTGCAGCATGCTAGATCCGGAGGGCAGTGTGGAGCACAGGCTTGCCCCGTCCTTGCCCAGAGCTGCCCTCCTCTCCCTAGCCATGCTGCTGGCCGTGGCGGCCCTGCTGCTCCTGGCCCTCTCCGCCTCTCAGCAGAAAGAAGTGGATTTTTACACCTTTAAAGTGGTCAACATCAGGGGCAAGCTGGTTTCCTTGGAGAAATACAGAGGCTCGGTAAGTCCTGCAGGGAGCTCACCTGCGGCTCGTACGGCACTAACCGCCCGTCTTTGCATGCGCGGGGGGCTGCATGCACCTCGCCTGGCTGCCGCCAATAAAACGTTTCCCAACTAACCCGTGTGTGCGCGAGGCTGGTTCTTGTGCAGACGTGGCGCGCGGGGCCCGGCCAAGCCTGCGGGGCAGGAGCCCTCCGGGGGGAGCAGCCCCCCCTGCCCCACCTGGCGCCGGCTGGCAGGGCCGGGGCCGGGGTGGGGGCGGGG